GAATACAATTCTTATATTAAACAAATGCAATAGTTATTGAATAGTCAATAAAAGTGAGAAAAATTCTAATTAATTCTAAAAGGGGATGTTTCTTTATWAATTCTGTTGCATTGCCTGAAGCTAATGCTGGGGCAGTGGCATGGAAAAGTCTGGGTGTTGTGATGTGGCGAGGGATGAACCCAAATCCGGACGGAGAAGAGGAGTTTTTAAATAAAAGYATTTATTTAACAAAAACAAAAAGCTGACAGAGCAGCAAAAATAACAAAAAACTCTGAGGACAACGAGGAAAAACCAAACAGTGAACTAGTCAGGGTGTGGAGAACTGAACCAGAATAAATACAAACAGAGGGAATGAGGAGATGAACAACAGCTGATGAACACACTGATTAGAAACTACTGACAGGTGTGTGTGACAGGATGAAATGACAGGTGAACAACTGAGGGAAAAGAGGCGTAATGATGACGAGGGAACACAAGAGGGAGATATGACACGACACAAAACACATCCTCACACTGGGAACCCCTGGTCTAATACAGTAAAAGTGTGAGCTACAAACAGAATGGTGAAATGACTCATCAGGCACATCTGCACTGTTACAGGTGTTGCCAATAAAACAGATTTGGCCATTAAATCACCTGTGCTCTACTATAATCTCTGCCACTGCCAGGCTTCATGTGCATGTAACATTTTCTGTGATGAAAGTCAATTTTTTTAGTGATCACAATGTAACTGATTTATGCACACGTACTTTTGCAGCCAACTTCTACAACTATTTCACATTCTCAACACAAGCCCATTACAGAAACTCACTCTCTATTCATCTGGTGATGATTAAAAATAAGACATTTGTGGGCGACGCAAAGACATTAGGAAGAAGTCATCAGCAACACGGTGAATTAAATCTTGTCTTTTGTAATCTAACCCTCTCTGATCCCATCACACCGCCTTCATTACTTTGACGTTGTAAGCTGAATATTGGATCCACCGTAGAACCGCACACCGGTCTCAAACTTCTATTAACTTTACAATTAACTGTGCATACATCACTTCCAATCATGAATCAGCAGCGTTTCTTATCTTTGGGACTTACTTCTTCAGTTTGACGTCGTGCCTGCACGCTCACGACTGAAG